GGGTTGTTGGGGTTGGTTTTTGCCCCTCCGGGCCGCGGTTCTCCGCCTCCCGTCCCGATCCCTTCTCTTCCTCGTCGTGCTCCCTGGCACCCAGCGTGCCTTTGTCTCTCCTCGCCTCAGTCTTGCCCCGCTCTCCCGAAGCGTCTGCAGAACAACTTCCAACGCGTGTCCTAACGGGCTGGGGCTAGCGAAAAAAAAAAAAAATTGCTCTGGCAGTTGCTCAGAGGTCTTTTAAAATGCTGCTGTACATTTTCTTTCTCTCCTAGATTATTTATGCAAACCTGAGGACAACGTTTACAACATTGACTTCACCAGGTTTAAGATCCGGGACCTTGAAACTGGAACAGTGCTGTTTGAAATCGCAAAGCCGTCTGCTGCAGGTGCGGAGCGCAAACGTTGCGGGGAGCTGGGCAGCTGCAGCGCAGGACCCGCACAAACCGAGCAGAAAGGTCCTTCGCTACGTGCTGGTGACGAAATTCCTCTCCTTTGAGCACAGGACTGAGTTTCCTGCTGCTGAGAAGCTTGTTATAAAAAGGCGAAGTGGTTGTCGTGAGACAGGGGAGTGCTATCAGCTGCAAATCTCCCCTTGCTGGCTGGTTATGGGACAGAGCGCCTTTCGCGTGCTTTGGCAGTTGCGAGGGGGGATATCCTGTGAGGTTGAGAGTGGTTTCAGCTCTGGAGCCACCAAGGCTGCGCCAGCTGTCATAGCAGATCTTTTCTTTGTTACTTAGTGCCAGTATGTGTCTCAGAGCAATTATTAAACACCTTTACATTCAGTGCCTAAGTAATAGCCCGCTTGTCCTGATAGACCTGCGAGCCGGTATTGCCTGACGTGTGCGCTGTTAGCAGCATAACTCTGAGCGGGTGCGTTTTCTAGAGCAAGATGAAGAGGATGAAGACGACAGCAGTGAACTGGACGCTAGTGCAGGCCGCTTTGTTCGTTACCAGTTCACCCCAGCGTTTCTCCGTCTTCGGACCGTTGGTGCAACGTGAGTATGAGTTCACGGAAAGAAGGGAGAATCCGATGTTTACGAAATGTCACTTGACAGTTTATAACCAAACTGAGTCAAAGATGAGAGAGAACCCATCTTACACTACAAATATCGAAGTCTCTCTTTCTGGAATAATCTGTTGGATTCTTGGGCAGCCTCAGGTCCAAGGCTCTGTTCTTCCCAGTAGGAAGAGACGTGTCGTCTTAGCTGTTTTTTCCTACTTTTTACATACAGAGTGGAATTCACAGTGGGAGAAAAACCAGTGTCAAACTTTCGAATGATTGAGAGACATTACTTCCGAGATCGCTTGCTGAAGAACTTTGACTTTGATTTTGGCTTCTGCATCCCCAGCAGCAGGAACACATGTGAACACATCTACGAATTCCCTCAGCTCTCAGAAGACCTTAGTAAGTACCTCCTTTCCCACACTGAGTCGTGTTTTGTTTGCGTGCGTGCATATCCTCATTTTCTCCCTCTCTCTACTCATGAAAGAAGTTGTGACTGGGATGAGGGGACAGGAATACGTAGATATAGCTTCCTGGTTTAAGCTGTGTATAATCTTGACTGAATTACAGGCTTGTGCTGCACGTGCTCCTTCTTTGAAAATGAAAGCCTGAGGCAACTTGTGTTGTGAAGTCACAGGCTGCAAGAGCTGATCAGGGTCACAGGGCTGACGTGCCTGATGCCTGACAGTGGAGCCCAGAAGATAACAGAACCCTGAAAAAGGGTGCTCTTGGTGGCCACGCATCTGTTTTCAGAACTTGCTTGTTAGGGCTTGAGCATCCTGCTTTGGAACAGAATGGGCTCTTCTCCGAGAGGTGTGTTTCTGAGCCTGCCGAGATCTTGGCAAATACACATCGTGCAGGGTATGTTTGACCTCAGGGGGTGGACAGAGCAGGAGCACGTGGGCCCTTCTGTGGCTGCCTGGGTGCGGGAGGAGCGCAGAGTTTGTACCCGGCCTGCGTGCGTGTGGGGAGTGCCGCTGCTTTTTCATCTGTGGATTGCAGCCTCTCTGCTTGCAGACGTGACTGTGGCTCTGCTCTAGTGGTGGCTCTGGCAGTTTCTAAGGTCGTCTTGTGTGAGATTACTCCATCCCCCTTTGCTTTTGACAGCGCTTGTCCTGTGAGTGGGAAAAATAGGAAGGGGCAGGCCAGAGCTTTTGAAGCGTGCCCAGCAAAGCAGTTTGCTTCCGTTGCTTGGGTAGGGCAGAGCATCAGCCTGGTAAATCCAGCAGAGTGGCAGAGTCCTCCTCACTCTGACTTTGCGCTGCCCAGTGGAGTGTGGCAGGCTTTTGAATGTAACTGAGCTTTCTCTTTCACAGTCCGTCTGATGGTTGAAAATCCGTACGAGACCCGCTCAGACAGCTTTTACTTTGTGGACAACAAGTTGATCATGCACAACAAGGCCGACTATGCTTACAATGGAGGACAGTAATCATTCTGTGTCCACGGGATGCTGTACTGCCGTTAACGGTTCTGGATGTCCAGAAGCGGACTGGAGTCGCTGTCTCGTACAACAAGGCTTCTTGCCAAACCTTTTCTCCTTGCATGAGGCTGGAAACAATGAAGCAAAGATGACAGCTCGTGAAAGTAAAGGAAATCTCCCTGCAACACTTCTCTCTCCAACACTCAGCATATTCCTGCCTCTCGTCCTCTGTGTCTGGATACTTTCTGGTACCTTGGTTAGGTCACGGATCAGAGGCACTGTTAGAAAATTCTTGCTGTTACATTCTTAGTAGTTAGGTTGCACCTTTAGTGCTCCTGATGTTTCACGTATTGGGTGACTGCCCTCTTTCAAGAGGTCAGATTGTTTGGGTAATCTGTTTCTTAGCGGAAAAATGTTACCCTTTCAGGTAGCCAGTGACGCCTGAAGAGCAGAACTCTTCTTCAGTTGGATAGATCGTCTCTTTAGCGCACAGTGGTTTAGTCTGTAGCATGGCCGACATTGCTTTGTAGAGCGCATCCCAATACTCTCCAGTGAGAAGGAGAAAATAAGAAACTAATTCAGCTTCTAAATGGTGCAGGAATCTTCCTCCTGCCCCCAGGGGCCTGAGCTGCCCCTGAGAACAATTTAATCTGTCTTGCCAGAGATTTCACTAGAGATAGGGAGAAGGGGGCTTTATCCAGGCTGGTCATTGAGTCAGTCTGATAGCATTTCTGTTTGAGCACTTGTGAGCAGATTGTTGAATTTGGAGCTCAGGGAGTCCACCTTAGAGCTGAAGTTAATCTCACTATTTTTACAATTTCTCCTGCTTCCCTTTGTGTAGGAATTTTGGCTCTTGCTACAGAATGTATTGCTTTTTAGATCGACAGCACATTGTCGGTCTAGCCAAGGTGGAGGGAAGGTGTTGGTCTAGTGGGGCTTAGAGGAAAAAGGGAGAATATGGGAAATCACTTGAAAAATGTGGAGGAAGCAGAGCTTCCTAGGCTTCAATCTCTCTATACTTTTAAATCTCAATGATCTGTCAGAGGTGCTGGAAGGAGAGACAGTGGTGTTAACCAGCTCGTTTGCTTCGTTTCAGTTGAGGTATTAGTAGCTATAAGCTTCTCAGGTCAAATCATTCAGTGTTACAGAGTGGGTTTCTTTCAGAGTGAGAACTGACATGGTTCTCTTTTTAATGGAGCTCCCATCGCTGCTTTGCCTACTTAGCTGCGTATTTATGGTCCTCTGTCGAGGCAGTTACCGCCAGACCGGAGGGTGTTATTTCACAGCTGCGGTTGGGTCTGGTGACAGGACATAGCATCATGCGGTGAGGGGAGGAGACCCATGTCTGCCCAGCAGCGATGCTGGGGCCCAGCTCCTGACCATGCGAAACCTCAGCTAACAAAACTCTTTTCTGCCTATTTTGCTGGCTGTTGAGACTGGCATTTGCCCTGTCGCCTCGCCGGGCTGGTCAGCTGTGTCTCTTGTACGTGGGAGTTAGGTTGCATGTAGATGAGAGGCATTTGCTAGTATTAGTTCCAATCGAGAGAGCTGAAACCTAACTCCTTGGTGGATGCAGTTGGTTACCTGTTGTGTTAAGTCAGACTCAACATAATTTATGTCTTAGCAGGATTACGTGCAGTGGGCATGACAGCGTGGAGCCTGTTAGACAGCAGTAGGAAACCACTGCCTTTACCTCGCAGATTAGTGACGGTAACTTTGGTGTAGAAGATCAGTTGGCATCAAGGTAAGCAGTGAGAGTGTGTGGGGTGGCAGTCATGAAAGAATCTCCAGCTCTTAGGAAGATATTTAATTATGATTAACCACAACAAATGACCTGTTCTGGGTGGAGCATTAATCATGAGCAGCCACAACAAATGTCTCGGGAATGCGGAGGGGCAAGGTCTGCGGGGTTGAAAGCTGAAGAACGATTCTGCTACCATCCATCCCCTCCAGCATCTCCAAAGGCACTTAGGCAACCTTGTTGAGTTGTTTCAGAATTAGTGAGAGCTGCTTGTGAGGCGGAGCTTGGGGTGCCTCTTGCAGTGATGCGCTTCAGAGGCCTTGTGCCGGTGAGGTGGGAAGCGTTTGTTCTGATGGAGCAGGTAGTTACTTGTGACACGGCAGAGCTGCCTGGAAGTGTGATTTTCGTTCCAGGGTGTGCTGAGATGCTCAGGACAGTGTCTGAAGAGCCTGCCAGTTATTCCCTGGGAAATGTTAGCATATTGAGCTGAATTTGTATGTAGTATAAATGCAGGTGCCTTGAAATGTTACTTTTGTCTCATTTTCTGTATGACGAAACCTCTTGCTTTTCTTACGAGTGTGATGATTCCCATCTGTTTCCTGTGTCACTGCATAAAGGTTCTTAAAAGGAAGATGGACTGTTGCCGGAGCGAGCAGCAGACGTTCCTGTGCGGGCGCATGCCGACATGTGTGAGTGGTTCGCAGCAGGCGGCTGCAGCGCTGCGCGGTCGCGGTGTCTGCAGGGCTGGGGGTGCCATCTAGCCGCGGCTTTGCAGAACGTGACTGAGAGCGGGAGAGCGCTCTGCCGACTGCAAAGCAGGCATTCCATGCTTATGGGAAAGCGGATTCCTGTCTTGAGTCGTCACTTCTGCCGGTAGTGGTGAGAAAAAAGCATTGAAGCAGTTGCTTTCCCCTTGGGGAATGTATCAGCTATTCAGCAATAAGAAAAAGAAAACTGGAGGAGAATCGGAAGACTTGCAGGCAGCACTAGCACCCCTCAGTTTCTAGCTGAATTTGTTTGCTTTGCCGTGTTGGAAGGTCTTTGCCCAAAAAGCATGCTGCAGAAAAAAAGTCCCTACAAGAGGGCAACCCAGCACTGAAAAAGTTGATTGTAATCCGAAAAGCCAGGGATTTCCAAACTCCTGTCCCCACTTCGGCCTCTTCCCGACGGTTGCTTTTCTCTTAGATGCTTTCTAGAAAGTGTCTTCTCTTTGTGGCAGGGATGATGTCTTTGGTAACCGTGGTTTAGCAGAGCATCTTTGCTTCTGGATTGTGTGCTCTGAGGCTTTAGTGATGGGTCAAAGCTACTCGTACCAGTGAGCTAGGAAGCTGTTCCAGTGGGCCCTCGTCCTTGTCAGGTGTGTGGTCTGGCCTAGCCAGGCGCCGACGGCTAGGGAGATGCTTTCGGTATCGGCTGAAGTTTGAGCAAGGGAAAAGGTGCCTGCGCAGACAGCTGCTCTCGGGTCACGTGCTGAGTTGGAGAGAGAAGAGAGTTGGGATCATACTGTGTTCTGCTCTGACAAGAAGAGGGACCAAACCCACAGACTCATGGTAAATCTTTCCAGTATTTGGCCTCTTAGCACCAGGACCTCTTTTTCACGTTTTTGAGGCGAGTGCTGTGGATCCACGCAAGCAAGCTTCCCGGACAGCTGTCCTCAGGACTGAGCGAGGAACACGTACTGCACCGTGTGAAGAAAGGTTGCCTCGTGCTGTACGGACTGGGTACTGCTGTCCTCGTCCTCCATTTTTGGTAGGAAGTGTCTTCCTTTGCGTGTTTTCCTTAGGATTTTCGACATCTCTTGCTGCAGAAGAGCAGCAGCCTGCTCGCCGGTGCTGGAGGACATTTATTCCACTTACCCGAGGGTTCAGGAAGAATAAAACTAAACGTTTAGAAGTCAGAAGGTGGTGATGATGGAGCAGTACGGTCCAAACGTGGTAACTCTACTTCTCAGCTCGGTGTTTCGCTCCATCCTCTTCAGCTGTTCCCCAGGTAAGAGGAGCCTGGCGCTGCCCCAGAGCGTGGCTGTCACCCTCGGACTTGAGCACTGCCGTCTCCTGCAGCTTTACCGTGGGGACAGGGCTGAGCAACGGCTGCCTGGCCAGCATCACCGCTTCCTCCGCGGCGACGGGAAAAACCGACACCAGCAACCGCCACCTCCCGCTGCCTGGAGCTGCCACGGGACGCCTGTCCCCATCTCACAGCGTGGCCTTGGGGCTGCTCTGCGCCGTCCCTTCCCGGGGCCCGGGCTGTGTCGGGGCCGTGGTACAGACGCGGTTTTGTCACCAGCAATAGTAATAAAGAGACCTCTCCTTTTCGCACCGGCGCTGCCCAGTCGGGGGGGCGGGGCCGGAGGGCTGCG